CATTTGTACCTTTATTAGTCCTTTTAATTTCGCATAGCCCTTTATTAATCCTTTTTTTTATTTTCGCATACCTTTATTGGTCTCTTATTTTCGCGTACCTCTGTCGCCCACCCCCCTCTAACCATCTATTAACAAGGTATTTTTTTTTCAATAATTTTAAGGGCTTAGTTAGTTAAGCTGAAGGAATCATATTAGTAAGGCCAATTATTAAACTAAACTATAATAACTGAAACATGCAACAGAGTGATGCCCTAGTAAAGCTACAGCTTTTACAAGACTTTGATGATTCATGTACATAATCGGGGCTGTTGAAGACAATGTATCATTTTGTTACAGGCTTCGGTATCCCCTTTTGCTTTCTCGTACACAGAGAGTATACAAAGAGAATATTGTAATTAATCGAAAATTTCAGACTCAGTTTTGACAGATCTCAACAATTTTAGACCTCCCTGAGTTCGAAAAACACAATTTGGAATTATATTTGTCTCTCCATGTGTCCTTGTGTCTGTCTTTGAACACTATAGCACCGAAAACCATTAGACTACAGGGATGAAATTTGGTATCCACGCATAATTTGTAAGTTTCTAAATTTTGGATAAAATCAAATCAATGGGAAGGCTGTCTGTCGCGTTCATGTAAATGCGATATCAAACACTTAAAATAGCTAGATGGATAAAATTCAATTTTTACAGTTTTATCATCCTTGAATATGAGTCCTTATCAAAGTTTGAACTAAATCCGTCAAGAGATTTCATGGTCTGTAGAATGTATAATCACATACTTAAAATTATATCTCTAAACCTCTGTGAGATAAATAAAATTTGTATGACGGTTGCTAACATTAATTATAGACCACCTTTAAATTTCGTTTTCAATGGGTTTTAAAAAAACGCTTTCAAATTGCATATTCAATTTTTTTACTTGCGTAATGGGAAACAATCTCTGCCTCATACGTAAGTTATTCAGCTTGATAGCGAAGACAGTCATTTCTCCCTGCTGTTTTTTTCTCGCTAATGGCCTCGTATTAGCGGAGGATTTGCTAGAGTGTGATAGAAAATAAATAAACTTACTAACTTTCAATACATATAAATCTCTTTGAATACGATTCTTCACCTAAATATTTTACATTTACATCTATTGAAAACCTTCTGATAGTCATTGCATTCTAGGTTACGGTAGGTTTGAATTTTTTATATACTCAGGGAGGAAATTAAATGAAATTTGTGAAATTATACAGGAAAAGTAGGGAGACCACTCCCATGGTTCTTATTATTTTCAGCGTAGGCTTTAGATTGCACAATTTTCACTTTACATTTCTCACAACTTTGAACAGTATTCTGCTTTTTTAAATCCCTTATGTTTTCTTGTGTCCACCATTACCAATTTGGTTTGCATTTGCCCCAACTGGTCCCTGGCGCATCCCCAGCAGGCCGCATTTACAGTTTAGGGAACCCTCTGACACCCCAAGAGGCCTGGGTGTCGGTTTTTGAACTGGCCAACCTAGTCGATTTTCTCCCATAAATGACAGGGGTATCACTTACAAGTTCAGTTTATCAAATGGTAACCTATATTCAGTTGGAAAGTAAAGCGACCATTGAGGACAATTTGACCCATAGCCCCTGGTCCCCTCGCGCATCCCCAGGAATTCGCGTACCGGTTTAGGGGAACCTCTGATTTAGAGCCTACATGGTGTGGTTTTTGGGCAGCTAACCTAGAAGTCCTGATGCTTCCTCCACATAGAAAACGTGGGGTGTCTTACAAGTTCAGTTTACATCAAGGCTGGTAAACTATATTCAGTTAGAAATGAAAGCGACCATTGAGGATCCGCGAATTTGAAGTAAAACCATGACATAGTGTTAACGATAGAAAACCGTGTATTCAACTAATTCAATCTAATAATCAAGTATTAATATTCTATTTTTTTTTATCGACTGGCAAAAGGTAAATTTCTCTGTAGCAAACGTTTGACACGCCTATTTTGTATTTTTCTAAGTAATGGTTTAAGATAAACTTTAAAATAACTGATTGTATAAAAAATGATTATATAATTTTAACATGCGATAACACTTATTTAAAATAGAAGGAACATTTAAAGTTTTGTTTTAAATTATTGTTGCAATTAAACACGGGTGCACTATTTTTGAATTGGGCGTTTGATTCAGTGAACCTTACCATCGCATCGGTTAGATCTCATCTCGCTTTATCATGATCTTTCTTCAGTTATATAGGTTGCTAGCAGAAAATGTGACCAATTTTCGATTTGTCCGGTAGCTGAAGAAGTTCAAACAGGGCTTACTTTTTTACTTTCTCTCATACGCAGAAGTATACAAGAAAGTATTGTAATCGTCCATGAACTCAGGGTTTTGACGAATCTCCGCGATTTAAGACTCCATGAGTCCCGAAAACACACTTTTGGAATTATGTTTGTCTGTCTGTGAACACGATTACTCAAGAAAACTATTGCATCTAAAGTGATGGAAATTTGGTATATGATCTTTACACATAACAGTTTCACCAAATTTGGATAAAATCCGTCAATGGGAGGCTGTCTGTCCCGCGTTCAGTAACAAATGCGATAACTCAAACATAAATAGCTAGATGGATAAAATTCAGGTACACAGTTTTATCATCAGGGGAATGTAGGTCCGTATAAAAGTTTGGGCAAATCCGTCGAAGGGTTGACTATTTGTCGGTCTGTATAATCTATTACTTGTTAGCCATTAACTTCTTAACCTTATGGCTTAAATAAATAAAACTTGGTGTGTGGTCTTCTCATCTTTCGAAGAAAGTATATGCATCCAATTTTCGTTTAAATTGGTGGAAAAAAAGAAAGATGTTCAAATATGTCTTTTCTCTAAAATAACGCGTACCATTGACAGGTGGCGGGTTCAACTTTCCGTTTCTACTGCAGAAAACTTAACCCTTAGCGCCTTGTGGGGATTAGTTTTTGAATTTCTAACGCAATTTTACCGAATTTTAGAAATTTTAAAAATACCCAAGTTTAGCATCAAGATGTTACTTTTGATTTTAAATTTGTTGCATCTTTCTAATAACACTATTATTTTCAATTTTTTCAAACATAAACCAGAACGGTTGTAATGGTTAAAACAACAACGGTTTTTTTTTCAAGTTTTTTTTAATTTAATTTTTTCATAAGGCGGTTGAGAGTTATTTTTTATGGAGAGTTCCTCAGGTGTACGAGCACTTCAGGTCCTGAATGGCTATGTGTTGGTTGAAGGGAGGTGACGTCTGTGGATTGAATGACGGTCAGCCAATTTTCGGCAGTATCTTAACGTATTTATTCATCTCACCATGCCAGCTTGCAGTATAATAATATGGTACCGCGCTGGAAATTTTTTTATTATTGTTTATCGTAAGAAAAAAAATAAGCGGGAAAATCAATAATGTGTATCTTTTGAGTCTTTATTTTGTTTTCAAACTTTTTCATGTCATTGGGCTTTTTTTTTCATTTTGTTGAAGTCCTGATTCCCACGGGCAACGCCATTGCGCGTACTACTAGTTCTTATATATTTTGAGATCAGGTTTGCTTTCTTTTTCATTTACGTTTTTCTTTTATTTAATATAGTCAGGAGAAACAACATGAATGTCTAAAAACAGAGGAATTCTTCTAGGAAACATACTGGTACTAGAAAAAAATATTTGGCACATTTATAATTTAAGGCGAATTTACTGTAAATGTCTTATCTTTTAAACGGTTTTTTGATGAAAGAAATCAAATTGAAAAAATAAAGATGACACAGATCTTAAAACAGTAGCCAGACATCAGCTGTTTGAAATAACTAGCCCATTTTAACTGGATCTGCTTGCGTTCGACCTAGGAGAAACATTAGCAGGAAACCTCAGCCTAATTGGATGTAACAGTTATGCAGACTTGTTTAAAATGTCTACAAACTAGCCTTCTCATTAAAGCACAATCAATTTTTCAGTAACGGATTGGCGATGAGGTGGCGTATGGTGGCTTTTAGAACTGACTTCAGTTATGTTCCTAAGGTCATCAACTTCTTTTATGATGTTTGTGCTTGCTGGGTAACGATCTGCGTTATATATGAACACCAGAGCTACTATTATGTACGACTACTATAATACTGAATAATGCCATGCATGATTCTCAAATAATTTTAGATTTTTATTCTTTAAGAAATGTAATTTAATACTTTTTTTAACTCAGGAAAACTAATTAATTATTGCTGTTCACTTCGTATTTGTAAAAAAGAATTACATTTTCACCAAAACCTTTCTCCATATTCTAAATAACTTTTTATAGCCTTTACAGCAATTTTCTAGTTGGACGTAATGGAATAATATCAATAGAATGTAACCCCAAGAATTCTAATTTTAAAACAGATTATTAAAAGAGGGTAAAATGTTGAACTTATAAGCTATAAGTAAACATAAATTGAAATTTGCTTAACCTTGGAAACTCCAGGTCAGGTGCAGAAAAGGAAAGGAATCGGAAATGGTCTCATCTCTAGAGAGACAAACACTACCATTTGTGGCGGCGAGTAGGGAGGGACGGTCA